TCTATGTAGTAACCTTGCAATCTTATTGTAAATTGATATGTTTATAACACATTTTGCAATCTAAAGATATTGATGAGTGCTCTGGAGACTATTCATGTCATGTGAACGCAAAGTGCAAGAATACTGATGGAAGCTATGATTGTGTTTGCAATGCCGGTTACCAGGGAGATGGCAGCAGTTGCCAAGGTATCAAAACATGAATTTCTTCATAGTAACCTTGTCTTTCCTACTCAGTATGTTATTGCGACATTTAGTATTTTATACATTTTGAACATTTCAGACATTGACGAATGCTCAACGAAAGCACATGGTTGTCACGTGAACGCAACGTGCAAAAACACCGATGGAAGCTATTCGTGCGCGTGCAAAGCCGGCTTCTATGGAGATGGCAGAAACTGCAGGGGTAAATCAAAAAATATTGCCATACATGATTGATACGTGTTGTTGTTGATACACCGATTTGTTTCATAGGCCCCGTAACGTGCAAAGAGATGAAAGCTAGCTTAACGTCGTAAGTAAGAATATAGCAACCAAACATGTGCGATCAAAAGCACATTGGACGGTTCTTGGGTATTTCGTAAGGGTATTTGGTAATGTTTGAATTGATCTTGACTGCTCTTGATTCAAGGTACCTAATGAAGTGATGCAGCAAAGAATAATTCAGTTTAAAAAAAAATCGATTTTCATGTTGATTTGTCGATTTCGATTGTCGATTTCGATTGTCGATTTCGATTGTCGATTTCGATTGTCGATTTCGATTGTCGAGGACTTCGCGCGCAGGGTAAATAATAGACAACATACTGATTCAAATTTCTTATCAACCTTTTTCAGGACAGAATTGCAGCAGGAAAATCGTTTGTTTTCTTTGTCCCTAAATACCACCATGCAATACAGCATCGTTTGCTCTTTCTCTCGTTTCTCTTGCGGAGAGGGAACGTGGCACTTGGCCATGAAGATCAATGGAACAAAGGTAAGTAAAGCTAACAAAATATCGTGAATCTGTCAAACCATTCGTGTATTGTGAGTGTTAATGTAACAATTATTTATTATTATCTGCGTTGTTGAACAAAAACAAAGTATTATGCTTTAGTTTGTGTGACAGTGTTTTGGGGAATTTAGTTGATCAACGTTTTTCAAGCAGTAACGAACTGTGCGCTTTTGTCTTCCAGAATACCTTCGAATACTCTGAACCTAATCGTTGGGAAAGCAAGGAACAGTTCAATACAAGAGCAAGTAAAACAGGACTCGATGAAGAAGAAACCAAAACATCGGCATTTGGGGACACCCCCCTGAACAAGCTGTGCCTTGGGATGAAATACGAGGGAGTCACTAGATGGATAAGGATTGATGTCAAGGGATCTTCCTTGTACGATGTTATGAAGGGCGGTGAAAGGAAAACTACTCTTGGGAAAGACAAGTGGAAAAGTCTGCTTTCTGGTCACAGCCCATCTCTAAACGAAAACAATTGTTTAAAGTAGGTATAATTCCGCCTTAGTCACTTTGGAAGTCATAACTACTGCTTTTCACTGTCATATATGACAAAAAAAGCGCACTTTAAAGGTTGTAAATTCGATGTAAATATGATGTGAAAAATTAACCTCATTTTGATCAAATTTATACATCAAATTTACATCATTTTGGACATTTACATCATATTTAGTTCAAGTTTACAACCTTTAAAGTGCGCGATATTTTCCAGTGATATTAAAGACCTTCATCAGTAATCAAGTCAAAAAAAACTGTGAAATAAATATTACACTAATAAACCTTAGTACGCTCTAATATTGCATTGTTTTCTTTTGTTTCTATTTGACTATCACACTTTTTAAAATAGTCGAATGATGGTTTTTAATTACTACGCTCAAAAACCACACCCACAAGCAGTGAATTGATCAGGCATAAGTAGTTCAAGCCAGAGCGTACAATTGAAATGATGGCTGTAAAGGTAGCGACAGTTACTAGAGATTAGTAACCCAATACAGTTGCAGCTGGCTTAGCGTACATACACGTGTTCTTTCTCACATATATTTTCTTATTTTTCTAGGGAAGGATTCAATCTAGATGCAAAGTACTCGGCAAATAAGTATGGACTACGAATCGGTATTCTTGGCACAAGCAAACATAGTCCCAACTGCAAAAATTATGATTCTTTCATTGGTGTTGGCCCTTCGATAGACAAAGTGATTTGTGGGAATTACAAAATTAATAAGCCCGCAAAGGCCATGGATGCGTTTTGTTATATTTTGGTGAATTAGACAGCATTAACTCGAACATTAGCTTTATTTGTAAAAATTTGATATATAACGCGCGCTCTGTTTGGCTGACGACCGTGTTTATATCAGAGGACAGAGACACGGCTTACCGGCAAAATTTTCTTTTCGCTCGAAAAATTTTATAAAAGAAATATAAAACGGCCGCTTGTGTCTCTGTCCTCTGATATAAACACGGTGCGCTACAAATTTAATGTTTGCTTCTTCCGACAGATGGGCCAAATAAATGTAGTATTTCAAATTATAATCTGTTAAAGCCTGCCAATGCAATTTTTATCTCATTTTTATTGCCACCTGTATTCGGTATCCTTGGTCACAAACCATCAACCTTCTAACTAAATAATGGAAAAACAAATAAGCGAGAATAATGCCAATTTCACTGGAGGATTTGCTCTTTTTTTAAATGTCATTCTTAGTCGCCTGGCAATAATCAGTTTTGCTATTAAAAATTCATTTTGCGCCACTTTTCGTTACAAGACCACGCAATTGAAATAACAAGGATGGACTATTATTTTATATTTCCAATACAAGTATTAATATTGCTGTATATACCGCAAATATTGGCTCAAGGTAAGAAAAATACATTTTAATGTCAAAAATAGCCAAATAATTCTCGAGTATAAGATTGAAAATTCGCATAAAACTTTTAAGTGTACTTTCCATTCACAGCGCAAATTCAGAATTATATAGTACTATTTATAATTCTGTTGCGAGAAATATGACAAAATAATACGAAAAAGACAATAAAAGCAGCTTGAACTGTTTAAAAAACCAGCGCCAGTAATAATTGAAAGCAAGAACATTAAAAAGGCATCTTAAGCAAAGTGAAGTTAGTGATTTTCTAAGCTTGTGGCAAGACATTTTGACGAAAAAACCTTAAACATAGATACGATTCTTAGATTGTATTAATTGTCAGAAATTCAACTGATTACTCCATATGGATACTGGAGCTTGAAAAGAACTAAAAAACTATATTTGAATCTCATGCGCACTTCATTGATTCTGAATATTAGTCATGATTCTGCGGGATATTTCCACACACTTATCAATCTTCATGATAACGTTTTCAAATAAACTATCTTATTAGACCTCCCGTTCTCTTTATTATCGCCACCTTCCTAAGTAAAAATCCCCAAATATTTGCATAATGCACAGCCTTACGCGAAAAATGTCCCCAAGCTTGATATAAAAGTAAATAGGAAAACAAAAGGCTTGATGTTTATACTTCAGTTACATTCAACTTTCAACCGGTGGTCATATCGACTGCTTACTCTTGTTAAACTTAAATCTTAAAACTTTTAAGACGTTCTTCCGAAAAGTGTCATTTTTATTTACATAGATATCGATCTCCAATCCACTTTCTTTTTTATAAGAAAGGTTAAAAAAATTTATTTTGTGACCACACTATAATCAAAAGGGAATAATATTGTGTCTGAGGCGACAATGGTGGCGCCATCTCAAGTACTTTGAATGTTGTTATTGGAACTCACAAGTAATGAATATTTTGTTTAAAATRATAATGTAGCCTTAGGTAAAGTTTATCTATATTTTCCTACCAAATTTGAACGATTAGTTTTAGATGGGTCATAMAYCATGKCCTTTCMCWTTTATTTTCCATTTTTCTTCTAAGTTGTTTTCTCCAATTCACCAGCAGTCAATGCGGTCGTGTTTAAGATCTTCCATATATGGAAAATGAGGTGACTTCAAATATTCATTCGCAAACCGTTTTCATCCGTCAATTTTAAGGTCGAATCGTACAATGAATCCTTTCATATAGCAAAAGGGATAATANAAACAGAAGCGTGACCGACCAATCTGAATAACAGATGTTAATGTAGCGAGAGTGACATGAGTACAGTTGCAAGTGTCTTAGTTGTGTCTCAATTTCACATACTTTCTTTGATAATTTTCACTAGGGAAGGATTCAACCTACAAACAGATTCATTGCTTGCCCTGAAGTTACGAATCGGTATTCTTGGCGGTAGGACTGTATACAACTCCAATTGTATCTATGATTCATTCATTGGTATTGGCTCAAGCGKCAAAAACCACGTGACTTGTGGGAATCATTAYAATTTTCGTGAGGCAATTAGAGCATTTTGTTATATTCTGGTGAATTAAAGACACTATCCATGCCACTTACATACAAACTTAATAAAAAGCCATGCATGAGGCCAGTATATAAGCCGAGGCTATCCGAGTCACTTAACCCGTGATAGTTCAAATCCTACGAGTTCTGGATCATTTTGATTTTGATATTAATCTCACTAGAAAATAGTTTTTTATCAYTTCGGAGAAAAGGTCTTTGTAATTTTGACATAATTCGGGTTACCTTTTAATATAAAATGTTGTTTTCGACTGCCATTGATACATTTTATACATCCTCTAAAAAGGCGCTAAAAATGTAATGTTTGCTTTTTCCGACAGCTGGGACGTATAACTAAATGTAGCATTTTAAGATGATAATCTTTCAAAACTTACAAATGCAATTTTTATCTCACTTTTATTACAAACTGTAATTGGTATCCTAGGTCAAAAACCATCAACCTTCTAACGGAACAAAAGAACGAGAACAATGCAAATTTCAAAAACTAGAGGATTTGCTCTTTTTTCAACGTCATTCATTAGTCGCCTAGCAATATTTCAGTTTTGCTATTAAAAATTCATTYTGCGTCACCTTTCGTGTTCGTATGATCAATACAAGACCACGGAAATAAAAAGAAACAAGGATGGACTATTATCTTGRATTTCCAATACAAGTAACAATATTGCTGTATATACCACAAATATTRGCTCAAGGTAAGAATGAATACCTATTTATTGATCAAAAATAGCAAAACAATTCTCGAGTGATTGAGAATTCGTATAAAAGTTTAAAGTTTACTTTCAATTCACCTTGTGGAAATATCCGGAACTATAGTACTATTTACAGTGAAATTATTAAAAACCTTATAGATGATTCTGTTGCGATAAATATAAGGGAAAAAATACGACAATAAAGGCGATAAAACACCAGCTCAAACTGTTTAAGAAAAACTGCGCCAGCAATAATTGACAGCAAGRACATTAAAAAGGCATCTTCTAAAGTGAAGAAGTTAGTGATTTTCTAGAGCTTGTGGCAAGAGCTTTTACCGAAACATCTTAAACATAGATACGATTCTTAGATTGTATTAATTGTCAGAAATTCAAATGATTACTCCATATGGATACTGGAGCTTGAAAAGAACTAATAAACTATATTTGAATCCAATGTACACTTTATTGATTCTGAATATGATTAGTCATGATTCTGCGGGATATTTCCACACACTTATCAATCTTCATGATAACGTTTTCAAATAAACTATTTTTATTAGACCTCCCGTTCTCTTTATTATCGCCACCTTCCTAAGTAAAAATCTCCAGATATTTGCATAATACACAGCCTCACGCGAAAAATGTCTCCAAACTTAATATAAAAGTAAATAAGAAAAAAAGGCTTGATTTTTACACTTCAGTCACATTCAACATTCAATTCTCAACTGCTTGTCATATCGAAGGCTTGCTCTTGCTAAACTTAAATCTTGTAAGATTCAAAACCTTTCAAGACGTTCTTCCGAAAAGTGTCATTTTTATTTACATAGATATTGATCTCCAATCCACTTTCTTTTTTATAAACAGAAAGGTTATAAACATGTTTTTTTGTAACCACACTATATTTAAAAGGGAATAATTCCTACTATTGTGTCTGAGGCGACAAGGGTGTCGCCACATCAAGTACTTTGAATGTTGTTATTGTGAATTCACAGTTAATGCGTACTTTTATTAAATTATGAATAAAGCCTTAGGCGAAGTTTATTCATATTTTCCTGCCAAATGTGAACGTTTAGTTTTAGATGGGTTATGCGTCTGTGGCCTTCCCCTTTTTAATTAACTTTAATTTTTCTCGTACCAGCAGCCAATGAGGTCGTTTAAGATCTTCCATATATGGAAAATGAGGTGACTTCAATTTGTTCATTCGCAAATCGTTTTCATCCGTCAATTTTTAAGGTCGAATTTTAAAAATAAATCCATTCATAGAGAGGGATAATAAAGAGTGAGTTGTTGTTTATATTATGTTGAGTTTTTTTTTAATGGACCCTGTTCTATTGAATAATTGTTACTATTGTCACTACCACCTCTTCCGATCTTGTTGTTTTTCTTCTACCGTCTTCTCTCCTTCTTTTCATTTTCAATTTTCCGTCTTCTTCTATTTGTTTCTCATACTTTCACATCTTTTCACAGATTTTCATGCTAGAAACTGTCGCAACCTCGAATTCAAAGAAATTGCTCAAAATAAGGCGTTAGCCAATCACACTTTCCGTACTATTCGACCAATCAGTGACTTTGATGCCTGTATAGAGGAATGTTATATGGATTTGCGTTGTTTTACTATTAATCTTTGTACAAAACTTGATGGCTCAATGACTTGTAACCTGCTACACTCTGACCACATAAGAAGTAAAGATGACCTGGTTGACAAACAAGGTTGTATACACTATGGCTCACAGGTGAGAAAATGATGAAATTATGTCAATTATGTCTGCATAAACTGCTATCATGCACACTTTCAAAACACAACAACAAAAAGCAAAGACCTAAGTACATGAACGCACGCGCTGTCATTGGTTAAAAGGGTCACGTCGCTTAAGCCGCGACTACTCGACCGATTTTTCTCTTGCGCAGGCAACGCGATTTTCGGGTACCATGAAACCGGAACATGGAATTTGAGCTGTTTTTGTACATATGCCTCTTTATGGAGATTCAAATAAGTATGTGTGAGCATTGTCGCTTGTGTAGCCACATCGTGCGCTGGTGATTTTGAGAAAATCGCGTCGTCTTGTGACAAACTCGAGGTCATCACACCTGCGTAAGCGAGAAATCACTCGTGTAGCCGCGGCTTAAGACCGAACAGGATTTTTGGTACTCGCAGGATATTTGCAAAACGGTAACTCAATGATGATAACTCAAACGAACATCTTRATCAGCTAAATAAAACGCGCTACAATTTTTCTGAAGCAACTTGTTAATTAGTATCAAAGCTCAATACGTTATTTTGTCTCTCCCCAGAGTGCATGCTCGAGTTCACCATGCAGAAATAATGCCATATGTCAAGGGGATTTTGTAAAAGATTCCGTATACAGATGCATTTGTCCCGCGGGATACACCGGTCAGACTTGTGATCAATTGATTGCTGTAGACAAATGTTCGACCGGTGACCATGATTGCCATGTGAATGCCGTGTGTGCAAACATTGCTGATGGTAAATACAGTTGTACATGTAAAAAGGGTTTCACTGGAGACGGGAGAAATTGCCAAGGTAAAATTATATTCTAAAGGCTAATTTACACGGTACGATTTGTCGCGCGCGACTTGTAGTATACGATTTTCCTACTACAAGTTGTAGGATTTTAAGCAGTGTTTCAAAATCCTACTACAAGTCGTAGGTTGYGTACGACTGTTGTAGRCAAGTCGTAGGGGCATTTACACTGCGCGATTCAAGTCGTATACTACAAATCGCACGAGACAATCGTGCCGTGTAAATCAGCCTTTATTTGCATGGTGTTTCTCTTGAAATGTATCCTTTCTAATAAGGAAATCATAGAAAAGTTCAAACTGAGCTCATCACAATCACTCGATGATCTTGTTTTCAAGGAATGTCCCACCCCCTCCCCCCACTACATTACAAGTGTAGTTTTTATCTGTTTTGATTCAGTGACCAACATCTTAATGAACATATGACTATTAATGCCTCTTTGCTTTGCAAACTGATTCATGATCTGTAGTAAGCTGAGTGGGTATCCTAGATATCTTCATGCATGCGTATTTAGCCGGGTGTACAAGATGATGGTAATTGTTGCGATGGTACATGAGACTTTTCCTCTTTTGCCCTTAACCTTACAATCTTATAATAGATTTATGTCTTTTTTTCTGACAACATTTCGTAATCTTAAGATATTGATGAGTGCTCTGGAGACTATTCATGTCATGTCGATGCAAAGTGCAAGAATACTGACGGAAGCTATGATTGTGTTTGCAATGCCGGTTACCAGGGAGATGGCAGCAGTTGCCAAGGTATCAAAACATGAATTTCTTCATAGAAACTTGTTTATAATGTTATTGTGACATTTATATTTAATATATTTTGCATAACTCAGACGTTGACGAATGCTCAACGAAAGCACATGATTGTCACGTGAATGCAACGTGCAAAAACACCGCTGGAAACTATTCGTGTGCTTGCAAAGCCGGTTACTATGGAGATGGCAGAAACTGCAGTGGTAAATGAAAAAAATGTTGCTATACATGATTTTTATAGGTGTTGTTATTTATAAAACCATAATGCTGGACAGGATTAAACCCAATACGTGAAGTCTTTAACACACAGTCACGCCAAGAAACTTTATTTTAAGGAAAACTAGTTTCGTCCCAGATTAGACCTTTTCAATTCCTTAAGTTTACAATTTATAAAACCGTTTATTTCATAGNATTCAAAGAAATTGCTCAAAACAAGGCGYTAGCCMATCACACTATCCGTACTATTCGACCAATCAGTGAYTTTGATGCCTGTATAGAGGAATGTTATATGGATTTGCGYTGTTTTACTATTAATCTTTGTACAAAACTTGATGGTTCAATGACTTGTAACCTGCTTATCTCTGACCACATAAGAAGTAAAGATGAMCTGGTTGACAAACAAGGTTGCATACACTATGGCTCAGAGGTGAGAAAATTGAGGCAATTAGGTCTGCATAAACGCAACTGCTATAATGAACACTTTCAAAACACAATAACAACAAACAGAACCCCGAATACATAGGTGCATCATTACAAATACACGTCCCCAAGGCATCACCGAACCTAAGACCGAACAGGAGTTTGGGTGCTCGAGAATTTGCWAAACAAACGACATGCATGATATCGATAACACAAAACAAACACCTAAATAAGCAAAATAAAAATAATAAAATTAAAGTATCTACAATTAATTATCCTGAAAAAATTGTAAATTACGTATCAAAGCTCAATAGCTTTGTTTTATCTGTCTCGTTCTCTTTTTCCAGAGCGCATGCTCGAGTTCACCTTGCCCAAATACTGCAACATGTCAAGGGGATTTTGTAAAAGATCCCGTATATAGATGCATTTGTCCCGCGGGATACACCGGTCAGGCTTGTGATCAATTGATTACTGTAGACAAATGTTCGACCGGTGACCATGGTTGCCATGTGAATGCCGCGTGTGCAAACATTGCTGATGGTAAATACAGTTGTACATGTAAAAAGGGTTTCACTGGAGACGGGAGAAATTGCCAAGGTAAAAATGATGGCATTTGCAACGAGCTSTCTCTCTTGAAAGGTCTGAAGTTATCCTTTAGCAGCAAAATATGTAAATCACGATTGTATCTAAAGAAGCCTTGCTATGTGTTGACAGTTAATAGTTGAGGCCGAGCTTCCTCTGTCTAATGCGTCGTTGCCCCATTGTAACTTTCCCTGAGCTACAACTTTGACGGGAGGTCATTTTCCCTGACGATGCTGTAAACAGCGAAAGCTCGGACTCAGCAACTATCAACACATAGCAGCCAATGCTTCTTTAGATACAATCATTCCATAGCTTTAGATGTTTGTTACTGAGAACGATAAAATCCAAGATGGAAGTCGTGTGGAATTTGAACTCATTTATTTCTTTTTCTATTAAATATTCCAGATATCGACGAATGCACTTCTAGTGCGCATGACTGTCACTCGAGCGCCATTTGTTCCAACAATGAAGGAAGCTATACCTGCAGGTGTAAACGTGGTTTCCAAGGAGATGGAATKAGTTGTAAAGGTAAMAGTTAYGAAGTGTAGATGTTACYGTGACGTACTAATTATCTATTTTTGTACTGCGTTCAAAGATGTTGATGAATGCTYATCRSACAGCCACCGTTCCTGCCACAAGAAAGCAACGTGCACCAATTCTGACGGGTCATACAGCTGTGAATGTCGTAATGGTTACTATGGCGATGGCCGTAAAAAATGCGAAGGTATTACATATCATACTAATAATACTAGTTATCTGTTTAGGTTCCTGAGTGCGTTTATTTGTTTTATTTACTTCATAATGACCATATTATCCATGAACTCAAGAATTACATGATCCGGACTGGTGAATGTAGTAAGTTGAGTGGGTATCCTGAAAATCTTGACAGGCAAGCGCGCATGCGTATTTATCGGGTTGTACACCAGTAATTCTCGGCGGCTTACTAGGGAAATGGTAATAGCCAATTTGTGACTTTCATCTCAGTAGTCAATCACAAAATAATCAAGACGAGGCGCCGTGCGTAAAGCTCGTCAAGCGTGAAAACCTATTGTCTTTGTTTGCCCTTAACTTACGATCTTATTGTAAATTCATATGTCGACCAAATTTTRCAATCTGAAGATATCGAWGAGTGCATATCTGGAAGCTATTCATGTCATGCCGATGCAAAGTGCAAGAATACTGAYGGAAGCTATGATTGTGTTTGCAATRCCGGTTACCAGGGAGATGGCAGCAGTTGCCAAGGTATCAAAACATGTTTGAATAATCAAGTTTAAAATTCTCCAATGCTCTGTGTTAGCCTCATAGTGTGCAAAATATTCCTAATTGTGAGAATAAAAGTGTGAGATTTTAATCAAGTAATGTCCCGAGTAAGAACTAGGGAAGCAAACGGCAYAGGAATGCAAGAAGGTGCTAATTGYGCATTGTATAATCCATCCATCCYATTGGTTAAAACATGAAAATCTGCTATAATTTCACAAGTTAGGGAATTTTCTAATATTTTATTTAATGTCTGTTTTCGCTTTCATGGAAGCATTCTTTAGCTTCAATATTAAGGCAATTCTATGTGGGGAACATTGCAAATTAGAAGCATCTTTTGGCTATTGTTTTGAGTGCTTATGATTGGATAAGAGCTTTTAATACAAAAGAAACTTTGTTTCAAAATAGAGTTTATCCACATTTTATTTCAAAAATGCGTTACCCACAGATGGATACMTAATCAGTGTGAAAACCAAGACATTCGTACATGGGGAACTTGCTATGCYGCAGAACAATAGAGAGTTCCCTAGTTCTTTAGCGCATTGTTACTTAATCAATTCTATTATCTTTCTTTTCAAATTCCATGCGTTTTCTAGGTCTATCGATATAGAATATGTTACTTGGTTTTGAGGGCTAACACAGAGCAAACCAGAACTCGAAATTGAAGTATTACACATTCACGGTTTTCTAACTTTTTTATTTTGAGACATTTCTATTTYCACATTTTGAATATTTCAGACGTTGACGAATGTTCAACGAAAGCACATGGTTGTCACGTGAACGCAACGTGCAAAAACACCGATGGAAGCTATTCGTGTGCGTGCAAAGCCGGCTTCTATGSAGATGGCAGAAACTGTAGGGGTAAATCAAAGAATTTTACCATACATGATTGATAGGTGATGTTGTTGATACACCGATTTGTTTCATAGTCCCCGAAACGTGCGAAGAGATGAAATCTAGCTTAACGTCGTAAGTAAGAATGTAGCAACCAAACATGTGCGATTAACTTAACCTCGATCTCATCGATCGATCGGTCTGAGGGTGTTGGTAGTTAAGAGCAATACATGGGTAAATTTGAATTGATCATGATTCGAGGTTTTACCAGCAAGAAGAATACGTCAGTTTTAAGTGTTTATATACTTGTTTACTAACTATAGCAAGTAGAGTCTGTGTAAACTTATCGATTTCGATAGTTGATTTTGGTTGTCGATTTTAACAGTCGATTTCGATTTTCGAAGACTGTGTGCGCAAGGCTATAGCCAGCATACTGATTTCAATTTCTTCTCAAACTTTTCAGGACCGAATTGCTGCAGAAAAATCGATTATTTTCTCTGAACTCCACCTTGCCTTACAGTGTCTTTTGCTCTTTCTCGCATTTCTCTTGTGGAGAGGGAACGTGGCACTTGGCCATGAAAATCGATGGAAAAAAGGTCGGTGAAGCTTACAAAATAGTTATAAATGCAGTATTCAATACCGTCTTGCTTCAGGTCCACTTTTAGTGCAAATTAGAATTACTTAGATTTTGTACAGTTGCACGGTTATTGAATGCTTGATTTGTATCAATTCAATTTAATTTGCGTAGTGGTCGCACTTAAACCGTGAAAATAACTAAGTTGTGTTATTTAGTTGTATTAAGCATATAAATCGTGCATGTGGTACGCAAATTAAATTGATATAAATGAAGCATTCAATACCGTCTTGCTTCAGGTCCACTTTTAGTACAAATTAATACTACTTAGACTTTGTACAGTTGCACGCATTAAGTGCAATCACTCTAGAGTGATCGCACTTAATCCGTGCAACTGTACAAACTAAATAGTTCTATATAGTTGTATTTAGTAAATCGTGCACATGCGGTATATTAGTGTAATATCTATTTAACGGCATTTTTAGACTTCACCATGCCATGTTATCAAGCAATAACGAACTCTCCTCTTTTGTCTTTCAGAAAACGTTCAAATACTCTGAACTTAATAATCGTTGGGAAACCAAGGAACAGTTCAATATAAAAGCAAGTAAAACTGGACTCGATGAAGAAGAAACCAAAACATCGGCATTTGGTGACACCCCCCTGAACAAGCTGTGCCTTGGGATGAAATACGAGGGAGTCACTAATTGGATAAGGATTGAT